TCCGGTGGATTAATTCCTCCGCTAGCCAGGCCAAGTACCCCGCGTCCTGCGCAAGATGGTCTAGCTAGCCAAGTGCGACGAAACTTTAATCTTGGTGATGTAATGCTGTCCAGTTTGGCAGCAATCCCTGCGTCGATCGGCACTACGAAGTCTTGGAGCTTCCACGTCAAGAACTGTTAGTTGAAAACATGTTGAAACTTAAAACTGTAGGTCCTGGAACAGTCGGAGGAGGACTTGCATTCTAAGTCCTCCGCGCTGGGCTTCGAATCTTGGCTTGTCAGTCCACAAATGACACCGCCTCTAATGTTGAATTTGAGGTTACAGTTTCGTTTTTTCTTGATTTTTCTCGCAGCTGCTTGCGCACATGGGCTTGGCCTAGGAGCTGCTGGCAGCAGCTTCACTTTTTTTTTTGCCGGCGACGCCGAGGTCTATCTAAATCGCATCCACCGAAGAGCTGCGCGTGCACGAAGTGAGCATCTCGCCTGTAGAGCTGGCGTGGGCCGGTTTGCCCGGCAGTCAGGAATGTTTTGCTGTGGTGAGTCTTTTGTTTTGGAGGATCGAAGGCTGCTTGGCCGAGAACCTTTCCGACCGGCGCGAGACGACAGGCAATGGTTCACGGATGTTCACGGCTCACATAAGTTTAGTTTTTTGCTCGTGGCACCTTCGCTGCCGATTCGCCGCTTCTGGGCCAATCGGCCTCAGTGCAGGAACAGGTTCTGCGCCAACCGAACCACAGTCGTGACTTTGACAGCAAGAGCATGAATAATGTTAAGCTGGTTCCGTGGCCGTGGCTGGCCTGCTGTTACACTCTTGCCTCATACACGTGTGATCGGAGCAGCTAGCAACACAAAAGCTTGTGTTGTTGCGGTTCAAGCTGCATTTTTGGTGATGCAAGACCGAGGAGTGTTTGACATCATCAGCAAGGAGCTGACGCGAAGCCTACCTAGGCATTTGCCTGACTTTGTTCGCAGGGATGCTTGCTTTGCCACATCCTGACCGACATGGCAAGTTGTCATGTGCGTTCTTGTCCGAAGGTGGTAGTCACTGTGTCACGGACATGGTGGCGTCTCAGCATGCAGCCAGAGGCAAGCTTAAAATAAGCCGCCTGAGCCTGAAATTCAACAAAACTTGCCAAATGCGAAACTCACATGTGTGCAAATTTTCTGTGCGCTGGCCGCCCGCTGAGATTATGTGCCATCTACAAGCCAAAGACTCGATTTAGCATCAGTCCTTCAGATTCAGAAGAGCAACTTAGTGCGGCGATCCAGCGAGGCCTTGAACCAGGGGCCTCTTAAAGTAGACGGGTGTCAGGTGGTGAAGCAAACTGCGATGCATCTTTGGTCATCTTCGCATCAGTACAGCAACCACCTGACATGGTGCAAGCCTGTCGGCTTAACCACGCTTGTCTTCCCTGGTCGGTCACCACGAACTGCCGCGGCAGGAGGCTAGAAGGATGCCTGTCCACGGTGCCTAGAAGAAGGGATTTGGTCCACGGTGCCTTGACGTGGACGAAGTTTGGGCTCCTGCAGTTTCCTCTTTAGGCGGTTTATGCCTGCCCGTCCCGTGCGCAAGGGAAGAGCCAGCAAAGAATGCACAGACCTTCCGGCTGGCTGCTATCCCCTTGCAGACGACAGCAGGCGATTTTAAAACCCGACTAGTCCATGCTACGCTGTCGCGTAACATGTTGTTGTCAGCTTTACCAGCGCAGTGGCTAGATGGGAGGCGGGTAGGCTTGGCCAAAAATTACTTTTTGATGTAGCCTCGCCTCCCCTAGAGCATGCCTTACTCGACGTGATGGGCCACAAGTTGTCCAAGATTCACTCGTCAATACCTGAGCACGTACAGACTCACATGTGGTGCACGAGAGAGAGACGGTGGGTTGCATCGGGGGCATGAAATCGAACAGAAATAAATTTGGATCCAGCAACAACCTGCCAGAACTTCTGCAGTTCCGCAAGCCTTCACCATGCAACCTGTGTCAAGTCATACGATGCCTGCTCCGCACCGGGACCATGCCTACTGTCGTTCCCGATGTGATCAGACATCAAAAGATCGCTCCAACGTTGCCCTTGCAGTATGCACAGGCTTTGCATCCTTCAGATGCAGGCTGTCCGGCTCCGCATGTGCACCCTCACAAGCATTTTGGACTCTCTTGTGTTTCTCAGTTTGGCTCGCGGGTCTCCTTCGTTTCCCAAGTGTTGCTGTGCATGTGTGGAGGGTAGGAGGCATGTCCGTCTGCAGCATGTTCTCCGGAAGGTTACGTACCTGCTAGAGGGCTAGGATACAGCGAACGCATGCAGCCTGCTCCGCGACGTCTCCGCAAGCCCTTGGCGGCCCTGTCCTTGCTTCTTATCTGCGATAGCACTAGTTGTATCAGCTTGTCAAGCCCTGAGTTCCCGATAAGCAGTTCGAGCCCGCTCAATCGAGGCTACTCCTCGTGTTCGCTGATGTGAGCAAGCTTCTGGGCTTTACCGGGTCGCGAGGCCGAGTTCGAGTAGAGTTTGTCGTCTGTTTTGGATGACTGAGTTAAAGAGTTTGTAGGCTCAGAAGACAGGCCTTGGAAGTCGCCAGCCCTCGGTCGCACGTGCGGCTGAATACAAGCAAGTTGCTGCGTCCTGCTCAGAGCAATGCTTGGAGTGAGAGTTCCGAGTACTGCAGAGTTCCGGGGCCTTCGCAGCATCCTGTGAGGTGGCGGGAGCCACGGGCCGGCTCGGGCGCTTAGTGGTGTCGGAATTACTGTCCAAGGACGCGATGCGGTCCCCGGAACCGAGCACTGAGCCTGAACCTGAGCCTAGCCTAGCCAAAACCGCACTCCGAGCAAAAGAGAGGAAGATGAGCTGCAAGTCATCGCGCTGACCCGCAATGTGTCTCGAGCAGAAGAGTTTCTGCCTGCAGGGTCCTCGGTGTTTACCCGAATGCGTGGCATATGTGGCGCATAGCTTGGATCCTATTATCTATTTCTTGCTGCAACCAGGTAGACAATGACAAGTTGAAGGTCGTCACCTGGGACCCTGCAGCTGACCAGGCGTGCAAAATCCAAGCTCGAGCTGCTTGAAGAATGGCGACTGTTGCGAGGCTGCAGCTGAAGAAGCTGTAGCTGATGCCGACGTGGCGCTCTGGTGCGCCGAGGCGATGCTAGAGCTGCTGGAGATTCACCCCCCGTCTGCAAAGATGCTGCCATGTAGTTTGACTGAGGGTCGCAAGGGCATTGTCGCGCTGGGCAATGCTTTCAAGGCGAAGGGGCAGAGACCGAGCGGTGCACACCTCAGGGCAGTTGGCATCGCGCTGATGCGGTTCCATGAAGATAAGCATGCAAAAGTGCAGCATAACGCCTACACTCGCAGCTCCAACTTGCGTGCGTTGCCTTTTTTGGCACTCACACTCGACAAAGCAGGCTTGCCTTTATACTGGCCAGGTTCCGACGGAAGGGATAATTAGCCAGGAGCGGCCTTCATCACCTGTTCTAGATACTATGGGCCATCTTCACACCATAGTCCTCGCGGCATAATGAAACAGGTCGAGCAGGTGTTGGCAATTTTGTTCCGGTCACGTTGAGCGTTTCATAGAAGTGACGTGTGCCGCCTCTGAAGGCTCCGCCCGTGTGATCATGTGCTCCTCAGCCGTGGGAGTCCCAGAGACCCAAAGGTTGGTGTTTCTCAGCGAGTCCATCTTTTCGCGCCTCAGGCCATCACGCGGCCTACGTGGTCTGCCGAACAGAAATCCCGGATGTCCGGAGCAGCCGACATCCCGATTGTGAGGTTGAATCCAGGTGCGTCACGGTTCTTGTGCGGCCTTGGCCTCGAAGCGGGGTTCGGGTATCGGCGTGGGGGCAGGTGGGCTGCTGGACGAGAAACGAGCAGCCGAGCAAGCCTTGCGGGACACGGGGGCTTCCTATGCGGTGGCACGACCGACTGGCCCGGGACCCGGTGGTCCGGAAATCATGGAACATGGCCTCTGACCAGGGATCGAGTTTTCACTGAATTCAACAGATCCGAGGCCTGAAAGACGACTGGCCGGCGGGGCGTCCGGTGGTCTCTCAGGGAGATGTGGCTGTGGGCAGAACCTCGCGCCAAGACCTGGCCTCCATGTGCTCCAGCCCGGTTTCTGAAGTATGGGGGCGTATCTGCAACCTGAACACCACCCTCACCCTCCGAAACCATCCTTTCCATCCAAGCCCTAGCGTACAGCAGCCAGGCTGGTGCAGCTGCTTGTGCCTGCCTGAGCATGCCGATTTGTGTGGCAGATTCATCAAATTTTGCAAGCTTGTGGCTTGCCTCTTGCGCACGTAGAAGGCAACCATCCGACTGCACCGTAAGCAAAGCCAAAAGAGTAGACGAAGTCTTGTATCCGAATCCACAGCCAGGACGAGCCAGAGGCGACAGGGAAGACTTTCGAGGCAGAGTCCGGGCGTGTGAGCTCCCTCCCGTTGCCCCGGTACTTATGCCAAGCCCAGCCTTGCGTTCCAGGAGAGCCCTTTGGGCATTCGGCATTCGTTCCTGTCAGAGACGTTACTGGCACGATAGACCCATATTTGGATTCGGAACTGAAAGAAGGAGAAGCAACAGCGGCGCATGCTTCACAAACTTAATGCGCCCACGGCCTGGCATGCAAGTTCATTGGCATTTTTCGGCAAACGAAATGTGAATCTCGGCGGCAGGCAGCCCGCAGCGGTTATGATACTTCGAAACACGGGCGGACTGGCAGCCCGCAGTGGTTAAAACTGTTTTTCGGGCTGGCAGCCCGCAGCTGCACTGCTCCAAACAGGTGCGGGCTGGCAGCCCGCAGTGGTGAAAAACTGTCTAAGTCTAAACAGGTTGCTCGCAGCGGCTATAAGGCTCCAAGCAAGTGCGGGCTGGCAGCCTGCAGTAGTCAAAATTGTCCAAACAAGGCGCGGGCTGCAAGCCCGCAGATGCCATACGCTTCAAGCAGGTGCCAGATGTGGTCCAAACAAGATGCGGGCTGGCAGCCCGCAGTGGCTATAATGCTCCAACATGGTGTGGGTGAGCAGTGCACAGCTGAAATTGTCCAAGCTCGGTGCGGGCTAGCAGCCCGCAGCGGCTATGACAAGCTATGATGCTCCAAAACAGGTGTGGGCTGGCAGTCCGCAGTGGTCAAAATTGCAAAACTAGGTGCGGGCTGGCAGCCCGCAGCGTCTATAATGCTCCAAACAGATGCATTGGCAGCCCGCTGTGGTTAAATCTGTCAAAACAACATGGCTATAATGCCCCAAACAGGTGCGGGCAGGCAGCCCGCAGTGGTTAAAATTGTCCAAACAAGGTGCGCGCTGGCAGCCTGCAGCGGCTATAATGCTCCAAGCAAGCGCGGGCTGGCAGCCCACTGGTCAAAATTGTCCAGGAAATGGGGGGGGGGGCTGGCAACCCGCAGCTGCTATCATGCTCCAAACAGGGGCGGGCTGGCAGTTAAAATTGTCCAAACCAAACATGTAATGTGCGGGCTGGCTGCCCGCAGCGGTTGTAATTCTCCAAACAGGTAGCCCGCAGTGCTTCAAATTGTTCAAGCAGGGTGTGGCAGTGCACGGTGCTGCAATTCCAAGCAGGTGCGGGCTGGCAGCCCACAGTGCGCCGTATGCTCCAAACAGGTGCGGGCTGCCAGCCCCCAGTTTTATGCTCCGAATACGTGTGGGCTGGCAGCCTGCAGTGGTTACAGTTAACCGAACAAGGTGCGGTCTGGCAGCCTGCGGGCTGCTAGCCCGCACCCTGTTTGGGACATTGGATTGCTAGCCCCGGCCTGTTTGGACAGTTGTAGCGGCCCCTTGCGGGCTGCTGCTAGCTCGCCACTAAAGCCGCTGCTGGGTGGCAGCCTGCACTACTGTCGTAGCCGTCATAGGGACGGAGTCAGAAGCATGAACGGTTTAGGGTTTTGGCTAACTTGCTTGCAAGCCTGCAGCAAAAGGATCTAGCAAAAGATTCGAGCATTGCAAACCACTTTTTTAGTGCTCATGCTGGGATTTTTCATTCCTCCCAATGTCAGACCTGAAGCAGCTACGCAGACGAACAGTGCTTATGATGAAGAACCACTTTCCTGCCAAGCAGTGGTGCTTAAAGCGTCGTTGGGGTTATCTTGGTCTTTTGTTGCGCAAACCTAGCATATATGTGGCAAAGCAGGACATGTTGGCACTTTCCAGCACGCGACAGCATAGCCTTGGACCTTTCTCCCACTTACACAAGTGGGGCATGGAAGCGCTCTGTCAAGATGCCGCACAGCTCAAACGGCTGCAGATGACCGGGATGCCTTCATGGGTGCCTTTCAGGGGCTGCGACATGTCTACGAGTACGTCCATCCGTTCTGTGTGGCTGGACCGACCAGGCTGAGGGGATGCAGGTCTTCAACCGTCGCGGTTGTTGGTTGCAACTGGAGTTTAGGGGCCTCTTGCTGGAAGTGCATCTGCTCGAAGATGACAAGCCGAAGATGACATGCAGGCATACGTTCTACAGCTGCAGAGCATTGATGATGATCCCTTTCGGGTTTTTCAGTTTGTCACAATCTGCATCAGTATTTCGCATGATGCTCATCTACTTGCACTGTCATGAGTACTGCGTACAGTGTGTGTGTGTGTGTGTGGGTGCGCTGCCGACCTCTCAACGACATTTCAAACATAACGCGCATACCGTTCGGTTCAATTCTGCCTTGTCTCCGCCATTCGCTTGCAGCAGCCTCCCCGTCCCTGCTGTCACGAGTGTGGCCTGGAACGCCAATTGCAAAAAAGGGCCTAGGTGGCTGCTAGGATGGCATTGACGGCTTCACCGTATCAGCGGTCACAGCCCCGCATGGAAACACAGCAATTCGAAGCATCGCCGGTCAATGGCTTTGGCGAGAACTTTTGTTGCTCCAGGTGTTGACGGTGCCGGGCTACCCGAAGCCCCGCGAGGGCTACGGAGAGGCTCTCGAGTAGCAGTTTCAGACTGGCTCGAACGCAATCGACGGCTTGAAGGATTGGTTTTGCATGGGTGCTCCTATTTTTGGACAGGCGCTGGAAAGACTGGAGGCTGACACGGCTGCGGCCTCAGAGTCAAGATCCGAAAATCCGAAAATGGTTTCTGGCTACAACGGCTTGGATTCTTTTCCAAGCCAGCTCGCTTCAGGTCGTTGCCATCTCTTGGTTTCGAGGGCCTCACATCATTCGGAGAAGCAACACTGCTGCCCCGAACACTCTGCTACCAACACTCGATCTAGCTACTCACTACAGCGACGGCTCTTCGTTCTGATTGTTCCTGGCAGCATGTCCTGCGGCATGCAGCAGTGCACGAGCAGATTAAATAGTCGTTGGCGTGCTGCCGGCAGTCTGCCATGTCGCCGCTGAATCCGCTCCAGCAACTGAAGGATCTCTTCGATTGCTTCGACAAGGCACTTTGCGCGCATCTCTGTAGCCGTTTTATGCCATTCGTTGCGATAATGCACAGACGCCTGCAGAGACTTGGCATTGTGTCGGGTAAGTGGGTGGTTTGGTGGTTTGGCCTGTGCCGTGAGCAAGTCAAGCTGCCCAGACGTCAGTGGCACATCGACGCGGAAACAGAAGAATGCCTACAGCACCAACGCATGATGTGCTGACGAAAAGGAACGGCTGCGGAGCATTGTGCCAACTCGGCGGTTCTGTTCTTGTGGATGTGGCTAGTGAGCGTTTCGGCCGATTCGCAGCTCGGCATTGTAGGGTACCTTTTGACTTGAAGTTGTGCCTAGCGGGACATGCCACACGACGTATTACGTTCGCCAGCACTCGCTGTCGCGACTTATCCATCGTGGCCTGTGTGCCTCCTTTGCCTTGCTTTGCCTGACAAGCTTCTCACATTTCCAAAAGGGGGTCCGAATCCAAAAGAAATTGAGCCTGTGTGTGAGTTCGACTTGGTCGATGCTGACTGCAGGGGATCTTATCTTAGTAAGCAGTAGGATATTGCTTATAGCGAAAACCGAAACCCTGGAAGGACACGTCCGGAGCTCTCTCCGTGCAGGGCCTCTCACACATCGCAGATTCCGACAGCAGGGAGCTGCACGAGCTCCTGGTGGCAGCTGACATCAATGCCGATGGCGTTATCACGAGGTACTTGGCCAGTGAATGGTCTAATCTCAGTAAATTCGCTTCTACTGGGTAGTGCCTCAACAACTACTGTCTCGCGAACAGCTTGTGAGCAAGGACTTTCCTACAACCGTAACTGCTTACCGAGCCCGCATATGTAGTGCACACTTCTGTCTCATGCGGCGCCTACACCGCTGTTCTGCTGAATTTCCACGGTGGTTTCGTGCCTGCCAGGTGTTCCTGCTATGCCTCACGGGGTTGTTACAGCAAGCAAAAGGAAGGTAAGCTGTCATAGTTTTACGCATCCACTGCACTTTCTGGATGAGGACGGAATGGGACGAGCATGTCAGCTCCTGGCTGGAAGGCCACGAAGGCCAGGTCCAAGCCATCCTGGATGCAGCCAGCGGCATCACCGAGGAGGCCGCACAGTGCGAGCTTATTTCGAAGGCCAAGCATGTATTATCACCCATGGTGATGTCATGCCAAGCCACAGGTGCTGCAGACCAAGCGGAAGAAGGTCCGATCGAAGCGGCAGATTGCTGCGGTGTGGGATGGTGCCAGGCGCAGTCTTATCAACTTTAGCCAATCCGGGCTGATACAGGCGGCTTGTCTCAGTTCGATGCATGAATGCCTCTCTCAAGGTCGGACGGGGAAGATGAGATCAGCTGGTTCGGCTTGCCGGTCGTTGCATCACAGGACCTTTCATTCAAGGGCGAGAACCGTGCCGTTCCAATCGGACAGAAATTGGAGGTGCCGAGCTCCGGACTAGTTGAAAAGAGGTTTAAAGCTCCTCCAACCCTGAGCAAGCCGTAGCATCCAGCTCGCAAACATGGAAAGTGGTGGCAGCTGCTGGCAAGGTGATGGTTGGGGGAAGCTGCTTCTTGTGCGAGGTGGCTGCATATGATGAGGAGCTTCATAATCATAGCCAAACCATTGGCGAGCTTCTGGGGCGAATTCTTTCACAGGCATGTTGCAGGAAAGGATCGCCAGTCATATGTGTCAATAGGAAGCTCAACATGTCCACGTCCAGCATAGTTATAGTCTTGGAAATAACTGGCACTTGGCAGGATTTGCGGGAGCGCTTGCAAGATGCGACCCTTTACTGTAGCAAGATAAGCCTCGCGCCGTGCAGAGATGCAGGATCAGGACTATCCCTACCTGCTGCACTTTCCTGCTGGTGACGTGAAAGAGAAGCGCTGCGAATTAGCTGCAAGACTTCACCCTAGCACAGTTGTTGGTCCTGCGCAACGACATGGCAGAACCCACTCATAAAATGAATTGACATCGAAGAAGCCAAGTGGGACTAAGTGTACGGATATTGCACTGGGCCCGGAGGTATGATCGACGTTACCAGCAGCCGAATCATCGCTCCATTGTGGACACGAGAGAAATCGCCTTTCCATTTCGTCGATGCAGAAGAAGAGGTTTTTTGACCAGAACATGATGGGTCGTTTCTATGCCCGGTTTGTGCCCGGTCTCGGTCAGGATCTGCATTCAGTGTTTTTGGTTCATGCCAAGAGCCTCTGCCAGAGCATGCCTGTGCCATCCTATGCCATACAGGCCTGCAGATGTTGCAGACTCGCACAGGTCTCGCCGCGGGAGATGTTGACGAGTCATGTCAATGGCGAGCCGATCAGTCCTTCGCAGTTGGTGAGCAGCATGGCTGGAAGTGTGATCAAGCTTGCTTGCTGTTCACCAGTCTTAAAGAAGGCCTGGTTCGCCGTGCACGGCAGCATTTCCAGAACGAACCTGCGCTTCTGCGAATCTCCGTGCAAGGCCAAGGACCTGCATGGGACTCGGGGTTGAGGGTTCGGCCCGTTGAGTAGCGCGAGGTGCTTCCAGTGTCTCAATCTTCGGCGACATCCATGGCAACTTTGCAGGCAGTTTTGTATTCCTCTGTGGGCTGCAGAGACTGTTCCGCACCATGCTCGCGAAGAACGATTGTCGCTTGTTCCGGTGGCCTGCATCGTGCTCATGGTTATCATCATGATTGTCAGCATCACTAAGCCACGAGCAGAACTGCCAGCACTGTCACAGCCGCCACCCTCACCATGAGCAGCGCTGGCTACTAGTATCGCCAGAAGAAGCGGCGGCAGCGGTTGAGGCTTCCAGGGTTTCATTTGCATATACTAGTGTTAGCCTGCACATCCTGAATTCAGGACTTTGTCACCTTGCATTGCGATGGCAAGTCAAAAGCTCGGTAGAGTAACGGGGTAACCATCACAGGGTCAGCTACCTGAAGCTAGCAACCCGGCCTGAAACCTTTGCATCCTTGACGGCTTCGGAGCGCGAACGTCGAATCTCGTGTCGTGCTGAATTTCCTGCATCATGACATCTGGTGCGGCGCGTTGTCCGTAAATAGTTTTGCAATGCGATGTGGTGAGCGAATCTTTCTGTCCTGACAGGCTTTGCCAGCCTGGCAGCACAACTGCAAGGATTCTGGGACCTGCAAACTTCGCAACAGCTTGTGGGTTGTTGTCGGAATAGGGATTTCGGGTCTTTGCTCTTCGCTGCAGACGCGCGGCTGCCCAGTGCACGTGAACTGGCATTTTGTCCACTGCCAAATCTCGATGCATGACTGTCCACAACATCTCCTGGAGGATCGGGGAAAGCCAAGCTGCTCGACACTGTGAAGGATACTATGCTGGAACCGCCTGCCGACATTGTCATCTTCCTGGGTGCACTCCCGCCGAATTATGTTGACTAGACTATAAGTTGACTTGTGATTGCTGGACAAATGTTGTCTTGTAGGCTAAACTTGAACGCTTCCGCAAAGGATTTGGTGGACCGTGGGGATGAGAATCTCAAGCTCCTGCTGACGGTCCTGGCTTGGAAAGTGCAGCATCCTGACCGGATTTTTCTGCTGCGCGGCCCCTCGGCGTCGCCCGAGACTGCTGATGGTGCAGTGGGACGCTTTACTTTGTTGTAAGTTTGGAAAGAATGTTTGGCACTGGCGAGGCAATCACGAGGATGAGAACATCAACTGCCGCTATGGCTTTGAGAAAGAATGTAGAGAAGCCTGTCCGCAATGCTTTCTTGAACTACTGCCCCAAGCCGCAGGAACAGCCCCTAACTTGCCTGCAAATTCGAAAAGAAGACTGCAAGGACCTCTTCGGCGAAGACGGCAAGAAAATCTATCGTCAAGTGAACAACATGTTCAACTACCTGCCTGCTGCTTGCCATTTCGGGGTGGGGCCGTCTGCTTTTGCCAGTTGGGTGCAGCAGTTGAAGTAACATCTTCGGATACCGTCCCCTGCATACCTCCCGGCTTGGAAATGGCTACGCTGTGTATGTGTAGAGTTTTTTTGCACTTTGACGACCCAAGGTTCGTCCTAGCCAGGCGGGAGGCAAAGAAACAACCCGAGGTCGCTGCAGTCCTTGGTGACTTCGCCTTCTGCTGCCATGGCGGCCTTGGGCCAAGTATCCTATCTTTGGACGATGTCAGCCTACTGGATGCGCACAAGCCCATCTCGCTAGAGGTGGATTGGAGGGTTTAGATGCAGCTGTCGTCGGGAGGGGATGTGATCACGTCAAATTGACATGTGCCAACTGCGACGACTGCAGTTCCTAACACGGCTGCAGCAACTATGCATAGGCAGCGTCATGCATTCATGTCACGACTACAACCAGCGGTCTTGGAGACGAGGTGCCACCAAGCACCAACATGGACAAGACCGCAATTGACCTCTTGTGGGCGGACCCGTGCGAGGACTGAGCCCCTTGCAAAGACGAGGGAAGAATGAGGAGTCATGAAAGAGCTACTGCGCGATTCACATGACCTTCTGGCGTCCCAAGGATGGTGCCTTAGCTTCCGAGAGGATATGAAAGACCTGAGCGTTCCGCACTATTTCCGGCCCGTCTCTGAACTTGCCAGGAGGTTGATGCGGATGTCAATGCTGACGGTTTCGCAGAAAATTCTGCACGAGGAATGGGACATGCTTCTCGGCGATCTGGGCATCGGCCAACTTAGTGAAGGATTGGTTTCCTGGTATTGCAAGGATTGTTAGGGGTTGGTGACCTTTCAAAGTGGCTGCAATAGTTGCCGTTAGCAGGCTTTGTTTCGTGAACTTGATCGGACTGCCGAATGATTCGGGACTAGACCAGGTTTGTTTGCATACTGATCTGGCAGGTTTGGAACGCTGCAGCAAGCAAGAGATTCCTTGAAACCACGGGCCTGGAGATCATCATCCGTGGTCATGTGGCTCGCTAAGACAATTAAATGAAGCCGACGTCACCAGCATGTGCCGGTCCCTCGACTCTTGTTACTCTTGTTGTTGCGTTGAGGGCTGCTGCCGTCATAAACTCAAGGAGTGTGAGCCGGCTGGCTACTTGCAACTCAGCTGCAGCCGCCCGAAAAATTTGTTTACCTGAGACGGTCTGTGAGTTCAGTTCAGTCCGCGCGGGGCCTGTGTTTCTCCTGCGAAGGTACAACCATGAAAGGCAGGTCTTGACCATCTTCTCAAGCCCCGCCTACAGCACCTAGGCTGTGAATGCCAAGGAAGCTTGAGTTTGCAGTTTTGTGGAATTGTCCTGCAACGACCCAGTCATGACGGAAATTTCGGTTGGAGAAGCCTCGGTCAAGTTGTTAGGTCGGAGAAAAGCGTCTGATGAGCCCATAGGTTTCGCTTCGCTGCATCTGCAACACATAACCCACGAAGCCCTCATATTTACCATTTCCCACCTCGAATGCTGCACAAATCGAGAAATCCGGCCACGAGGCGAAAATAACGATGCAGCGGTTGCAACTTTAGATGCGTCCGGCCTCAGCAGCTTGAATTTTCTGAGGCACCTGGCTCATGAGTTGGGCTTTTGCAACCTTTGCATGCAGAGTATGTGCAAGTAGAGCCGGTGTTGTGCTGTTGCTTGCAAGTGTATTTGCTGCTCTGTTGCTGGGATGCACCAGCTGTTGCGAGGGTGAATGCGAAGAACGAGCCAGTCTCGGCAGCAGCACAGCTGGAGGACAACGCCACGATCTATCAGAACCTTCGCAAACCAGAACATTGCTGACATTGGGTTTGCTATCCAGATTGCAGTAGTTAGATATTTGCTGATGGCGGAGATTTACATTTGTGCGCATAAAGGGCCGCGTGTAACGTTCGAGAAGTTCATCTTCCAACCATCGCACAGGACCGTGACTCCCTGCAAAGAAAGGCGAAGCCACGGAGTGTTTGCCAAGGCGTGCTGAGCATGGGTTTTCTGGGTCTGCCAACTCTATATTCTGTCAATGCCTGCTTTTTCCCAAAAGCATTGCAAAGGGTTTGAGATGAGGTTGGTTAGTTCTTTCTTAATCAGCAGCAATATGTCTTCCCCCCATGGCTAGCTGGAGTCGCTCCACGAAACGCCGTTGACGTGTCGTGCTCCGATATGATAATCCTCTCCTGTCAGCAGCGCGTTTGGACATGGCGCTGCACGTAAGTACGGGGGGGGTGCAGCGTTCAGGTCATGTCCCTGAATTCCAGCAGTCTATGGGGGCAAGCATTGTGGCCGTGCTCCTGAATCCTGCTACAGTAATGCATGCGGGAAGCATTTTGGTCGTGTAAATCGCCCTGCGTGTGGTGCCGCAACAATCCAGCCAGCACATCCGGGAAGCAAACGTCGTGCACGCTACATGAGATTTCTCCGCACCGTGCTCGGAGTTGACAACCCTCTCGGTGGACCCGCATGTCCGTGGTCGTCGGGTAAGCGCCATGGTAAAGGTAACGTGATGAGACCGTTAGTGTGCCATGTTGGTTTAATCCAAACGTAATCATAACCAAAGACAAGCTTAGTTGGTTGTCCCTGGTCCTCTGTGATATTACTCTGCAATCGTTCGGAAACTCCAGACGATGCCCCACTATAATGTTAATCTTAATTAGTACACCGTGCACTCTGACCAGCATTCAGTCCCACGTGCAATAGGATATAGCTGTAGTTGCAGCTACGTCGCATTGCAGTGTCTAGGAGTACTTTCACATGGGACCGAAGAAAGACAAGGCTTGGGGCAAGGTTGGGCGGGAGCTTGGCGGCGGGCACGCGCGGGACCACGGCGGGGACCGCGCATTAGCAAAAAGGTGAAAGAAAGGAGAAACAAGTTGAAAAGAATGTGAACAAAGTAAACAAAACAAGGTGAACAAAAGATGAAACAAAGGTCAAAAAAGGGTGCCGAAAAGGTGTTGGTGGAGCTGCCTGGGCCCGCCCCGGGCCCCCAAACGCGGTCCCCGCCACCCTTCCCCCGCACTGCCCTACAGCCCCCCAAGCCCCCACTCGTGCCCGCCCCAAGACCAGTAGCAATTGCAACGAAACCTTCTTGAGAAATCTACGACCAGTAGCAGTTGCAATGAACCCTTCCTCAGAAATCTAAGACTTGCTGCTATCCTTTGCTACCCTAAATCCAAACCCTAAAGTCCTTGAACGGGAGTCGAACCCTCTCGGTGGACACGGCGTGTCCTGACACTGCGCGTAAGTATAATGGGGGGGGGGGGGACAGCGTTCTGGTCATATCTCTGAATTCCGACAGTACATGGGGGGAAGCTTTGTGGCAGTGCTGCTGAATCCCGCTACAAGGAGCATGTTGTTGCTAGAAGTTGACAGCGGCTTGTTGGGTTTCATTAGTTTTTCGGTGTCCACGTTTACCTGATTGCGTTGTCGTCATCCCGTTCACAGTATACATTCAAAGGCGTTTTCAGAGCATCGTCGGTGTTTAATCTTGTTTTCCTTAGCCCTGCGATATGCTGCAATGTGTTCCATATTTAAACAACGAACTATCTATGACATGTAGTTAGGCCCTTTTTCTTCTTTCACCACTGGACTAGACAATGGCACTTTACAAATCGCCATGTACTCACACTTTGTGTTTCTCTTTACCGCAGCCTGTGCATGAGGATGGTATTTGTGACGAAAGTCAAGATGATAGTTCCTATGTTGCTGAGTTGCTAGGAAAAATCGATACTTGCATTGAGGTCTAGCTTTATGGATACCCGAAACCCCAGGCACTGTAATATCAAGGTCCAGGAGAACAAGCAAAGATTGGTAGTGCGGGTGCTTTTCTTGCAATTCGTTGAATCGTACTGCGATATGCTGCGCCTTCTGGGTCTCGTATGCTTACAGAAGAGGAGGTTGTGGGGCCTGCATTTTTGCAACCCACTTTGTTTAGTGGTTTTGTATGTTTCGAGTGGTTGTTTGTGTGGTTTCTGTGTCAGTTGGTCGTTCGTTTGGTGCACATGCGAATATGTCCAGTGGTTTTGTATGTTTCGAGTGGTTGTGTGTGTGGTTTCTGTATCAGTTGGTCGTTCGTTTGGTGCACATGCGTGCATTTCTTGTTTCCAACTACAGCATATGTTGAAGAGATAGTATATTTGTGTTTTGTTGTGCGACAGCTTTCCTTTCTCTACCTGTGAATCTCATTCTGGGTCTCGATGCATCGCACCTAAAGTCTCATGAGAGGAAGCCAACACTTACCGAGGTTGTGTCTCCTTCTGAGAGTGCTGGCGAAAGGCTGGTCCAAAGTGGCTAGCTGTTTGTTGAGAGCTTGTGCAGCAGTCGGCGGCGCTTCAGAAAGGTGCTGTTATTAAAGCGCCAGGCGCACCCCGCTCAAAAAGGTGAAGAGGGCTTCGTACTTTTCATAGGCCCTAAGCCGTACTTCCGATCCCACTGAGGGACAACGGCTCTTCCGGCTCGAGCCGAAACAGAGATTCCAACGGAAGGAACATCGACTTTCCAAGCCCGCAGCCCAAATCCCAAAACCCCTAAACCCTGGACGCCTAGAGTGAGAGTCGAAAACCCTGGACGCTTGCCGCCTGCATCCTTGCCTGCCTTGTGCGAGCGTGAGCGTCGAAACTTAGGTTCCGAGTTGAGAGTCCACGACTACATATCGCATCCTGTTGATGAGTGGCCGAAGAATCCTAAAGTGCACCCAGGCTCCCGGCCTCTACGGCAAGGTTCGCTCGGCCTTCCGCCGTTTTCTTGGCGGACCCAAGACGGCGCAGGCGGCAGCAAGGTTTCTGGTTTTCATCCCACCACCGCAAAATGCAGATGATTCGAGTGATATGCTAACGCTCAGAACAAGAATAAGTAGCAATAATTACGTATAAAGCCGGAGATGTCAACAACGATGTACGAGCAACACAACACTTCCAGAGCGACATCACAATACGACAGCTTGAGAGCGCCAGAGCGACGACAACAATAACGACAACAACCGCAACCACAACGACAACGACACCGACGCCGACACCGACACTGCCACCTCCACTACCGCCACCACCGCCAGCACCAACGCCGCCACCACTACTGCCGCCACCAACAAACCACCACCACCACCGCCGCCGCCGCCGCCACCACCACCCCCCACCGCCACCGCCACCGCCACCGCCACCGCCACCGCCACCAGCACCAGCACCAGCCCCAGCACCACCAGTGTCACCAGCGCCGCCAACGCCAACAACATCGACAGCACCAGACCAGCACCAGCACCACCAGCAACACCAGCGCAAGCGCCAGCACCAGCAACAGCAGGCAATGCTTCTGAGCAAAACTGGGATCACAGTGTCACAGACTATGGTTGCTACCATCCATGGCATTGTAGCACATTGTAGCCCTCTCTAGAGCGAACATGTTGTCAGCATGTCTGCTCTGGTCATAGGTCATCGCATCACATCTTTCCCGCAAGATCGTCGTAGCCTGTTGAAGCTAAGGCTGACACACATCATTCGTAGCTGACACTGACCACAGAATCGAATCGTCTGCAGTCTCAGATCTCCGGACCACAAGACTTCTCAGGCTGCTACCTACGGCGTGCTGCAGCAGCTGCTTCCCGGAGAAGAGCAGGCCATGTTGGAAGTCGTGTTGGTTGGAATGGATAGTGTTGCAGATCATCATCGGTTTTATGGCGAGGCTGACATGTTAGTGCATTGTATCCAGAATAGTGCACAAAAAGCGATGTGGAAAGGTCCGATAGTTTTGCTGTCGAGACCCGCATGGGCTGCTGGTGAGGACAGTGCGGGCTTGGCCATGGGTCAGACGTACGAGCAGTACGACAAGAAGGACATTGGGTGTTTCATGGGCCCGATGGTGCACGGGTCCCTTTCCTAGGATGTGGGCATGGGGTGATGAGTGATGATTAGTTTCGACAATGTTGGAAACTGCGTGTTGTGGCCTCAGTCGACGAGCAAGGAGGAAGGCCGGCTTGGCCCCCGTGGTGAGGAGAAAGTGCCGCAGTTTGCCACGGAGTCGTAGTTGTAAAGGCCTGTCGGGAGTTGGTGGGATGGCGAAGCACTAGGTGGGCCCCTAAGCAAAGACTTGCGCAGAACTTGCTCTCCTGGCTTCGCTGTTCCCACTCTCCAATTTTCGTCGCGGAATTTTCAAGAGCTCCCTGCGATACTTTACTGACATTCATCGGTCGATCTGATGGACCATATAGACTGTTGTCCTCTGCACGCCAGACACCTGGAAACTACGCACGAAAATGATTGTCGCTGCGCTGGGTAAGGCTGAGTCTGCCTCTGCCGGTTTTAGTGAGAGGAGTTTGCCTGCATCAGTTCAAGATGCCCTTGTCATCTTCTGTAAACTTCGACTAGAAACTCCCGGCTGTCCTGCAGTGACTGTGTCAGGCCCCGAGATGCAGAGGTTGATGTCACGCTAGCCTGCCTAGAAACGCACACACGGTCACTGGCTGACCATTATCCGGGTGAGGGAGCTTCAGTGGTATAGTGCATGTCTCAGAGTGCAATCGTACAGTATTTCCCTCGCAAGCTTACGTTTCACAAACGATGGCGCTGGCGTGACTTCACAGTTCGAGGCAGCCCCTCGATGTCCAGCTGAGAATGGGTGACCGAGATGCATTCTGAAGCCCAAGCCGTTCTCTGAACAACACCGGTTAAAAGATGTCTGTAACTCAGACATAAGACAAGTTGGCGCCAGGCTCACGAGGATGCGCCCGGGACAACTGGAGCAGGGGCCCTGGTTTCAGCCCGGGTAAAGTACAGGTGCCTGTAGCTGTTTGGGAAGGGAATGCTTATACCTTCCATGAGTCGATCTGTCGGACCTCTAGAGCCTGAGTTCTTGTGCGTGCACCTCAGCTCGATTGGCTTCGAGCAGCGTCCCGGGAGTCCTTGCCCCAAGCTTCTTTCGGTCCCGAATCAGGAACCGAGAGAAGTCTGGAAGCCAGGGAACAACTGAGAGGGACCTCGGGACATGAGTGAAGCCGCTGCGCCCAGCGGCTTCCGCTGGCTTTGGTTGCATGCAGCGACTCGGCAAATATTCCTGCGGTGACTGCGGCTTTTGACGGTGTCTCGCGACTTTGTCTTCGTATGTACTGTCTCAATTGGGGCCTCAAGACTAAGATTGCCATGATCTAACCAATTATCAGCATGAGGGATGTGAAGCTGCTGTTCCTTGCTTTCACGGCCGGCCAGCTTTTCTTCAATCTTCTTTGTTTTTACAGCCCAGAACCTAGCCTGGAAGGGGCATGTTGAACCAAAGTGACAGTTTCGAATTCGTCTTCACATGCCAATCATGCCAAAGCCCCAGCATGTTGGGCAAGCTTGCCACATTTCTGCCTGTTGCTCCTACTTGGGTTTCAGTGTCATCGCCTTGCGACGATTCCGCTCCTGCAATTCGTTGCTTCCAGGCTCGCTGGTAGACCCCAGAGCCAAGGTGCACACGAGCGAGAGCAGCACAAGCTCCTCCTCTTCCGCCCCGGCGCCTTGGACGCTTCCCGCGTCGGAAGAGGCATGGAGATCGTCGGCCCTTGTTCGCATGGTGATTCCAGCAACCGCCTTTCTTCAGGCGGCATTTAAGCTGCGAGGTCGGAATGCCGCATAGCTGCACCTCAGAAACCTATGGCACGCTCAGTGCAGTCGTATCACCCGGTGAGCAAGGCCCCTACTTGTTGCTGTGACGGAGTTTCGCAGTCCATCTCAGAGACCTGCCGTGCTTGCTGTGGCTTGCGATCCGGGAGCGACATTGGCATAACGGCACAGCAGATAGCCTAAGATAACGTGATGTTGAATTGCATGATGTGGTAGGTCTTGCTGCTCCTGGTTCTAGTGTAGCGAAAGAGTAAGACTATGTGACTACGTCAACGAAGTGCAGCTTTAGCCGCCTTGGTCTGATGCACCCGGATGCACCATATGCACCCAACGGTCAACATGAGAGGAATGCTTGGCCAATCTCCTGCAGCGGGCAGCATCAGGTAGCCCACTCTCGACAGCGACTTGGAACTGCAATCCTGCGGAGTGCCTTTTTTAAACACGCTTCGCACATGTGACGGCATGGGATTCGCAAGCAAAGGCACGGTCTCCTGACGGCACGCCGGCGGAGGCATCTTGCTGCCTCGTGTTGTGCAGAGCCGGCCTTAGGTCACAGCTGTCGCAAGGGTCCCCACGCACTGTTTACAATGTTTACAAGTGGCAGCGCTTCGGTTGAACGTCGCATTGATGCCATGTAGCTTTGAGTGATTGACACGCAGTGCCAGCAAAAGCGGCTGGCAATCAGCCAGACCAGATGCTTCCAAACCCCGAAGTGCGGGTACATGATACATCAGCATTTAGAGCTGCAGAAGTGGCACGACTCTTTCCAAGCCATGCCGCAAGTTTGGCCTATTCTCGGTACCATGACCTTCGGAGTCGAAGGTCAAGTGAAGCCAGATGCTGTTACCACCATGCTACGGAGCTTTGTAGGCGCAAGCCTTACGAAATCACCAGCAGGCGCCATGATCGACACTGCTCGTATGTACCAGCAGTGTACACCAGATGGTGATACTGAGACCACTCTAGGCCAGACATTTCAGGCATTCCCCTCGCTTCTGTCGCGGTGCACAATTGCCACGAAGGCTTCCAAAGCGGTGCCGCCGCATTACTCACTATCTAAGGCCTCGGTTGTAGAACAGTGCAATGCGTGCCTGCAGAAGCTCGGAGTGGACTGTCTTGACCTGTTTTATTTACATTCGCCAGATATTACAACAGATATCGACGACACGCTGGATGGAATAGCTCAGTTGCACTCTGAAGGCAAGATCAAAGAGTTCGGTTTGTCAAACTACCCAGCTTGGGCTGTCGTGGATATATGGTACAGATGCAGGGCTCGCGGCATTGTCCTTCCGACAGTGTACCAGGGCCCGTACAGTGTCATCGCACGGGACATGGAGCGTGAGATTGTGCCGGTGGCACGCAAATTCGGACTCAGGCTTTACATGTACAATCCGCTGGCTGGAGGCCTGCTGACGGGAAGGTATAGGACTCTGGAAGACGTTGCCAGCGCTAGCTCTGGCCGCTTCTCCTCTGACTTCGACAACGCATTCGGTGTAGGTGTTAAGGCTGGAACCGATGTGTACCACAAGCGCTACGGCAACAAGGCGATGGTCGAGGGTGTCGGCATCCTTTTGGAAGCCTGTGGGCTGAAGGAGTGTGAGCCTATCGAGCCAAAGGTGATCGAAGACAAGACCAGCATGATCGATGGCAGGCGAGTTCGTGTAGTCGTCTCCGAGACAGCCGCCTCGCAAGGAAGCGCAGTGAACCTGGCCAACGTGGCTCTTCGATGGTTGATTCACCACTCCATGCTGACTGATGGGGACGGCATCATCCTCGGCGTTTCCAAAGACACACAGCTTGTGGCGAACTTGGCCGCTCGGCAACGAGTAACAAGGTAAGGACCAAATAGAGATAGCCTTACATAGTTTATGCAGGTCGCACATGGAGTGCTGCACACCCCAACAGCAGGCAAAAATCAACTCCATGCAGTCGCTCTGTCCCAAAACATATAAGCGCTTTGAAAGAGGCCTAGTGGAAGGTGTGGGTTCGTGGGGTCCTGACCGATCGATGTTTTCCTTTCGAAGGTCGCAGTGGTGGGTGTGTGCAGGACCACGGAACAAAGACTGTGAATGACGATTTCCCTTGCCATGCCATGAGCAGAGACCGATAGAAAAACAAGAAAGGTAGCTTCGAAAAGCCGGACAAGAAAGAGTACTTCAGCAGAATGGACAAGTTGGATTGATATTTCTCTACAGTTTTTTGCAAGTGTGTTATCCTGTTTTTTATTTACTCCTAAGCAGGGGGTCTGGTCGTTAATCGTGGCTACATTTGTTCGTCTGTTGAAGCATGTCGACGATTCATTGACGAGTGACTAGATGCCGCACGGATGGTGCACAAAGCAGCTTCAATACCCTCAAGAAGTAGCAGCTTTTCAAGATGTTCATGATCACTTTACCACAAGCCTATCGCCGAAGCAGTAGCTGTGTCTACACGAAGTCCAACTGACGCAAAGCTTTGCCGGCTATGAGCTGGGCCCGGAGACACTGCAAAACCACAACCACGCCTGGCATGGCCTCGGGGTGATGCCTGCTATGTTAGGTGAGCAAAGAGCGCACCAAGCGTTGAAGCATCCCAAGCAATGGCCCATAATGGCCCCTTATGCAAGTAAATGTTTCAAGAGGCACGTCCATGCACGTACGTCTCGGCTGAAACAACAATGGTTTCAGTATCCTTGGCAACCCATGTTGCTTTCTTCCAGTTTTGTGCCGCCTCCAGCTTGTGAAGCATGACATCGCTTCAACAGCATGACCAATCATGTCAACTTGAGTTAAAAGGCTGCGTGGCAGGGTGGGCCCTTGCCCAGCGACCAGCTCGCAGCATGCGAGCAGGCTTGGGAGGCTGCCCGCCCGGGCTGTGAATCTTACTTCCGCGGCTATGGCGCGGCACCTGGAGGCATCGAGCAGTTCTTGGCACTTTGTGCAACAAAGACGCCTGAGGCTGAGGAGCCGCCCGAGAAGAAACACAAAGCAACGGCTTAGTGAAGCCAACTACATCTTACACACCGTGCCGGAATGATGAGGCATGCGTACCTCCGGTGAAGCGGCTTCGGACATAGCGTTGGTGGAGAGCCTGCACCTGCGTGCGCAGAGAAAGAAGCACAAACAAGTCTTGCCTGCCTTGGGCATACGCTGCACACTGTGTGCGTGTGTGTAGCAAAAATGCGGCAATGTCCGCCCGGCATGGTACTGGATCGGCCCTGATTGTGTGCAGGTTGGCTTCCCAGGAGCTTCGGAACAGGGCCCGGCACCTTTGAATGAACGATTGAGGAATGGGGCATAGTTACAGTGCACAGCCTACCTATATGAGACACACAGAGTGCAGCCGGCGCTTTGTTTGATGCAGTTTGCGAGCTGTTTCGGTGGAATTGGCATGTTAGCGTGGTGGGCAACTACGCTTGGTTGAAAAATTCCGAAGGCCCGTGACATTGCGTGCCTTATGTCTTGTGCTGTAGCTCCACGGTTCGTCGTTTTAATCAGAGTGGGGTTGCTGAACATGACAGGTCCGTCATGTTAGGGGAACCACAGCGGCCCACCCAGGTGCTCTTCTTCTCCGAGGGCCGGCTGCAGGGTGCCAATGCGGCCACAGGGGAGCCCCTCCGCACGGTGTTCGGGGATGTAGAATGTAGAGAAGCAGCAAGTCAGACAAAAGGAAATGATCTCCTGTGCTGTACGCCGTACGGTGTAGTGAGCAGTGTGTGATGCAGCCTTCCTTGCGCCTTGCCAGGAGACCACGCTGTCCGTGCCCCTCCTCATGGCCGATTTAGTTCACATAGCGGGAGCAAAATCTGCTGAGTCGGCCCTTCGGTTGCGAGATAGACGGGAAGAGGAGTCGGGAGAACGTGTTGACGTGCTGCGCAATCTTTGTTGGCCCGGTCATGCCAAGTGAACACTGCTTTCTATTTAGAGGGTGGAGCTCCAGTTCGACCGACCTGGTAAGGAGCGAGCCTGGTATCTGCTTGCCCTGGCACCGCGACGGTGTCCTGACAAACCTGTGGAGGGTGAGCCTCCATCGACTCTTGGCATGCATCTGGACTTCTGTTGCACTTCGAACGATCAGAGGCAGGATAGCTGAAAATGCGAACTCAAACGAAGGCGGCTTAGACGGCTACACCCAAAATTAGGACGGAAGCTGGCGACATGGCGCCGCTCCAGGGCGTGTGGCTACTCTACACAGCGCCCGTTGAGCACAGAGCCTTGACTGTTCAGCACTTGACAGGGCATGGTGCGTCGAACCTTCGATGGCGAATCAGTATCCACTAGGCGACTTCCTCCGACTCCTTTTCGAGTTTGGTAGCCGCGGTGCTTTGCGCGTGGGCCTCAGGAAGACATGAGACATCATGCGCCCCATTTCAACGTAGCCGCAGTGCCGTGCTTCTGTGACCTCAGCCAAGGTTGGGATCTGCACGAGTGCTACACTGTGACTGAGAAGTCCCTCGGTGTTGGCGGCTGCGGCACAGTCTACTTAGGCGGCTGCTTCTCTCTAGAGACTCACTAGTCACGAAAGCTCGCGTAGCAGA